CCTGTGTATGTCACCTGCTGTTGAAGTTTTACTGCGAAAGCTTGAGTTTTGAGGAAATTACGTTTAAAAAAGTGAAAACGAATACTTCACTGCACGGTACGGTACTGTGGCCGGATAATTTGTGCTTCTCTGCACCTGAGTAGATTACATGTTTTGACAACACATCTCTGCGTCTCTACCTTTTCAACAAGCTTACCTTACCATCCTCGAAGTGATATCTCTGAATGTATGCCATGCCATCAAACCAGTGTTTATACTCAGTGTCACCGATTTTGAACATTCCCGGTCCATTACGGACCATTGTTCCATGAAGCCATGATGGGATACTTCCTGCAGACAAAAAATGAATGATCAAAATAATGTGACATAAAATGAAAAAATCTCTTGTAGATTTTTCTTAAGGAACTTACACTGCTTACAAATGATTTTATAGTTTCACACAAAATCATATGTTCAAGGAATTTTGATCCCGCAGCGCGGTCGCGTCGCGTTCGCGTGATTACTTTTTCTATGTGAGGATTCGATGACGAGATAAGGTTAACTTGTACAGAATGACAGTAAAGTTTTAGGCAAACGGCTCAAGGTGGTGCGTTATTATGGATATGGATGAGAGACGCAAATACCAAAGCACAATTATTGCACTGAGTTTCTTCCGGCTAGACGTGTCGTAATTGCGTACTCAGCAACACACATGGCATCAGGTCACATCAAGATCCATAAAAAAAACACGGTATCAAAAAGCGCAGTATCAATTTTTCGAGACCTTTCTCACGAGGTCTACAAAGTCTGCGTTGGCGGCTGCCGAAGACGAAGGATTTCTACTGCGGGGCGCACTACAATGAAAGTACTAACACTTGATGCAGTGGCAAAGAAACCTGGAGGTGTTGTAATTACACCAAGGTATAATAACTTTTCGAAAATAAGGGGAGTCAGTTAGGTCTGGATAAGTAGGTAAATGGCTGACAATGAAATTCGGCTAGGCACCGCTCTTCTCAAAAATGACAATCTCAGTGCAGAGCCATACAAAGGCTCAGGGAGACCGCGCCGCAACCGCGCGCGTCGCCGCGAGGCAGTCTCACCCGCGAGCACCTTGAAAGAAAATTGATGAAGGAACACAGGGACTTTATCCAAGTCTCTTATTATTCTCTGAATGTCCATTTTTTATGGAATTTCATCTGAAGGTTCAAATTTGACTAAATTGAGAGACGTGTTAAATTTGGATTTCATTTTATGATTGGCATGTCATTTTTCACGAAATAAAATGATTTTGTTCGAAGCAATATGTCGACTGTTGAAAACCCACCGGTAACTTGGCATTCTTGTGGCGTATCAACGTTTTCAAAATTCTCAAACAGCCGCTCGCAGCTCATTTTCTGTTGAACTCCTAAAACATGAGACAAAGTTTGAGGAAGAATAAATAAATATCTGTTTCGATGAGTCGAAGACGAAGTGCAGTTGGAAACCGGTTGGTTTAAAGTAGGAGAAGAAATTCCACACGTTAGGCATACATTCGTGTGCGCCACGCCTTCTACCCCTACTCGGAATCATGGAAGAATCAGAGCGCCGAGCCTGTAATGGCTGAAGTCAGTAGCTTTCAAGTCTTATATTGTGTACCCCTTGCAACCAAGGTTGCTACCAGTAATTTACGACCACGAATAGTTTGAAGGCTCGATGGTCCCGGTTCAGGACTGACCCGTCGGCTTGTGTAAGTGCGATCTTGCTAACAAACACAATACACCGTCTCCAACCGATTACTGTGGGTACGTGTAGCGTAAACTGAATGCTGCTGTTGTTCAAGACCAAACAAAAAAGGAAAAAACGAAAGAACTTAGCCACCAATAGATTAGATATTGCTTCAGGCCGACAAGCAAATTCGTATTATGTATGCGACAGGTTCTCCGCAGTGTACATAACACAGCACTAAGCTCATTCTGGTGCTGGCTGAGTCATATCCTTGGTTATGCCCCACGTCTATTCCCACTCGAAATCGACTAAGAAACGGTAAGAATGACCCAATACTGACATCCAGAGGAGAACTTCAAAAGAACATCAGCAAGTTGTTGATTCAGAAAAAATATGCAGAATTTTTCATATTGTGAGAAATTAGGTTGAGCCTACAAGAAAACATGATTAAACGGTGATTCATGGAGAAGTGGAAACGCAAGAAAGATCCAGTGGAAAGAAAATAAAAATCGTGTGTAGAGGAAGGTTCATGCGCTAAGGCATCACATGCATCCATTTCTACTTGTACTAAGATTCATGTGAGGATTTGAGTATCGTGCCTACCTACCTCCTATGTAATCATGACTCGAATCTTCTGCGATGACTGTCTCGAAATTTTCCTCAGTTAACACCATTTGGAACGCTGGCCAGTCTTGTGCGCCTTACAAAACTTCTAATATCACCAATTTGGTCCCTCTTTGGAGCTATGCAGCAGTCGTTGAAGACTGATAGTCCGTCATTGAAAGACGGAATTTACGATGAAAAGGCTGCTCATGAGAAAATAAGGGTAGAGGTGGTCAATGGTGCACGGATGAAAAAAAACCAAGAAAGGCAGCCTAGAACTCAAAAAAGTGTGACCCCTTCTTTCGATGACTTCCGTAACTGGATGCGTCACTCGGATCCGTTTGCCCTCTTCCTTCGCTGTGAGCGACTCTCCATCTAACAAGGAAAGGATGGTAGGTCGAAGTGGCCGTATAAAATGAGATGTATACCACCTGATGCGTCTCTAGACGCTGATTCCAAATCTGCCTTCCAAATCTGCTAAACGACTCTCCGAACGGAGTTATGAAGCGTAATAGCTCAGTGGTGATGGTCCGGGGTGGCAGGTAAAAGCTCGTAGGATCGGTTCCTTTGCAAGTTTGTTGCTTTGCTTTTGTCCGCAACACTTCTAGAGACAAAAGCAAAGCAACCAATTTGCAAAGGAACCGATCCTACGAGCTTTTACCTGCCACCCCGGACCATCACCACTGAGCTATTACGCTTCATAACTCCGTTCGGAGAGTCGTTTAGCAGATTTGGAAGGCAGATTCGAAATCAGCGTCTAGAGACGCATCAGATGGTATACATCTCATTTTATACGGCCACTTCGACCTACCATCTCTCTTCTGTAACTCTAGCGAGGAGCAGACAACGACGAGGAAGACATACGCCGACGAGCGCGCAATGGCCGCCGTTGAGGAGGGGTCATCATGCTTAAAATCGCGGCTGCATTTGTTCGATGCAAATCTGCGCTGCTGGCGGCAGTCCGCCAAACCGGTCGCCTGATTCTTCCCACGAAGTAGATTTTCCTATTCGGTATTTTCTACCCTATCAAATGAAATATTCCTTTAAAAAACAAGACAGAAAGGATTACGGTAGTGATGGCTTACTCCGAGCAATGAAAACAATGAGTAGTGCTGCGGGAGGTAAAAATATACAGTATCAAATTCACAGCAATAAAGCAGGTAGAACAGACATCGTTGTACCACACTCGTGCTGCCAGTGATGCAGCGGAAATGCTACTAATCTATCGATACAGTGGTAGTAATTGCTTATTAAATATTTATCATTACCCTAGGATGCACCTTCCCAAATGACGTCTTGGAACAATAGCTAAAACGACCAGCTCTCGGGAGTCATTGGAAAATTCCTAATGGTCTGAAGCGGAGGCTAAACCGCGAAATTAAGACGTGGCCATGCCACTTGTGAGCATCCTTGGCACTAATATCTTTAATAATCACCCAAGTCGACGGTTCCTTCAACATGAACGTTGCAGTACCTAATGTACGCACCCTCCTATACGAACTCCATAGCCGTTTTTATAGCGTCAAATATGTCGTGAAGCATTAATGGGTTAGTGCAGGACGCCGGCTTACCACAAAGATTTAGAATCATGATTGGATCAGTAGGTCTCAGAGAGTTGGAGAGAGCCTTAAATTCTCCCCAGGCCGTCGGAATAGAGCAATCTTGGTGCTGTAAAACTTAAGGTAGAGAATAACATCTCTATGCTCGAAACATGCTGTGTCAATCCCCCCCTGTCCCCCCCCCCCCCCCCCCCATATGCCCCCCCCCCCCCCCCCCCCCCCCCCCCCCCCTCCGCAAGTTATCTGTAAGAGTTGAAATCGCATTCATATTAATAGAGAGCGAGCGACTCCCGTATCTCATGAATAGTGGTAATTGCGGGCGAATTCATAAATACTCTTATTGTAGCATCCTATAGCCCGTCATCACGCTATAATTAGAAACATTCATGAGCAAGCGATTATGCGAAATGAATGTATCTAACCTCGGACTCAGTGCGCTACTAAAAACGCATTTTCACAAGATTGGCATGTAAGTTTGCTTGGCTTTAGGAATGGAATCTCAGATGCTAGGCGTTTTAACATGGCTCACATGCAACACTTTATACGAACAATGAATTCTGACTGTAATAAATGAAATATTGATGGATTTTTACAGAAAAATTGGTCGAATAGCACAAGGTACTGCCGATAGCAAAGGAGCACAGCTCCTAAATCTAAGAAGTTCGCATTCTGGAGAAATCATGCAGAAATCATAAAAGAGATGATTCTTTAATTTGAGTTATTCAAGACTACTGCTGCTAAATAGCCGCGAACCTTAACAATAGGACAGCTAGCAAATAATCCGGCAAACCAGATTGGTCCCCCGGCAAGCGCCGGAACCTCCCTACCTTGCGTAAGCTTTCCCTTCTCCCTCCTCTCCTTACTCACCCCTCGTTCTCCTCTGCTCGCCGGCTACCACAGCATCACCTTGTGGAATGACCGAAAGTGTGCTAAGTGCGTGTTTATATAGCCGTTCTGGGTTATCACAATCATGCTTGTGCAAAACATTGATAGCGCAAATCCTGCGAGCTACCCAGATTTGTTGGCGGCTTGTTTATTCCGTTAGCTGCCTTATCACTCACTCACTTCATTTTGCGGACGGACACACATACATACATACATACATACATACACACACACATACAGACATACAAACCGACACACAAAGTTAGCGCTTTATAAAATAGAAGGATAATATCATAATAAAAAATCGATGAGAAAGGTACAGAAATCAGCTGGACTTAATGATAGTCAGAAAAAGTGGAGATATGGTAGATCTGGAGCCAAAGAATTAAAAACGAAGGCTATTGATTGGGCTATTTCTCCTGGGCGTTCCGTTTCGTGCCGTCTCTTTGCCTATCAGCAAGTTCGCAAGCAACTGTAAATCAAAGGGAACAATACTTGCGAGTAACAGAGTAATCTTATTCAACGCCAAACAACGACGTGAGCGATACGAAAAAGGAAACGTTCGCAAGTTTTCAAGGTCAAAGATCGACCAAAAAGTGCTGAGCTGATCGTCAAGGCAGGTTTTGTTTACTGGCCAAGCGCTCAATCGACGCGCCATTGACTACGACGTAGTCAAACGGCCAAAGACTGTTGGGATCATTATAGTGTCCCTCTTCACTCCCGTTCCCCCTTTCTTGCCAGGAGTATCGTTCAGAACGTGGAGAGCTTACCCAAACCGTTTCTTGCATGGAGTACCTGCTGAAAATATTTGGAATTCCTTTTTTTGCGGTGCTGTCAGTGACAAAAAAGTAGTGGAACAATGGCTTGTGGTTCGATCCCCTCTGAAGAAATTTTTCTGCATTTTTCTGGTTTACAGTTTTTCGTGATCATGCAAGTCTAAACGTTTTACTGAAGAGGTCTTTATTAATCCACAAATGCTCTACCTTGAAGTTCATTCAAAGTTAAGTTTGAAGATATATTTAGAATGCAAAAATTCACTCCTTGAGTATAAAAAACCGCCTTTTTCCTGGAAATATGAGGGCCGTTCAGAAAAAAGGACCTCATTTCTGGTACTTCATACAGCCCCCTCCTCCTAATGTGCAAGGAATCGTTTGAAAATAATCTCTCCATGCCCTAGACGACTTCCCTGGTTAGAACTCAGGAGTCCCATGGAAGCTCAAAGGAATCTTTTATGTGGGATCAGCATTGCATGCTTTCCAGACAATACTGAATGGGAGCAGCGTAGTTTTTTCATGGATTTTTCTTGAAAGAATAGGAGTGTGATGCACAAACGTTGACCAGGACGGGTACAGAGGTTATATGGTGTTAGCGGTTCTGGGCCCAAGCAGTATCTGATCTAAGAACTCGGTTAGACGAATCATTGCTAAACTCCTTTCTTAAGAAGCTTGCAAAACTAACGCGTTTGTAGCTGATTCATTCCCTTCTTGTATACGCCATGCGTTCGAATTCTATTATGTCTT